ATTAGGCCCATGGGGTCTAGAGGGCTTGAGAGGTGTAGACAAGCACTCTAAATTTGGTTTTATTTCTCTGTCCTTAAACCCTGAACCACACAATCCCAGTGATCTGCATGGCACATTGAGCCATAGTCCTTGCTTGAGCTATAGTCCAATCATAGAATATTAACTAAACATCCCATTTTAGGAGAGTGGCACCTAAAATAGGTAGGTCTCAAGAGAAAAGAAAGAGAATATTTCAAATTATTGAACTAAAGTCTAAATGGGCATTATCTAAGAGGAAATTTTGCAATATCTTGAGATATTTTCATACAAGTTGGGCTGGAAAAGGACGTATAAAAAGAATTTTTTATCTCTCTATTGTTCCAGATTTAAATCAAGATATCAGTTATGCAATCTCAGATATTATTCTCTACAAATCGATTATTTTGTATCGCCTCAACAGATCTTTTCATATCAAAACCCTAATCCTGATGCCCTCATCCCTACGGCATCTAAACCCTAGAAACACTAGGAGATCAAAATCCTAACATCTAAAAATTCCAGCAATCTTAAGAGAAGAAATCCCTCCTAACTCAAAAAAAAAAAAACATACAAACAAACCCTAGGCAGAATCCTAGGTAGAAATACCTTTTCAATTCGAGACAATTTCTTGTTTAGGAAAAACTTGAAGATCGACGAAGAAGATCCTCAAATCGTTGTGTAATCCAGGTCCCAATTCTTTGTGTGGACCGGGCCTTGCAAGTATTCTTTTTGCTTTATGTTATTTTTCTTTTGTTTTCCCTTGCTATTTTCTCCTTCTTTTCTAAAAGATCATTCAAAACTATAATCTTTGCTTTCCTTTATTTTCTAAGGTATCTTTTATTTTTTACATGGATATAAGCTGGCTCAGCCAATGGGCTGTCAAAAAAGGTCGGTTGGACCTAAAACTCGACAAACCAGTCTCTATTGACTTCTAATAATTAAGTTTTGACATGAATGATGAGGACTATAAAATATCATACATAAGTATCTGGAAGCACGGAGGGGCCTGAAGGCCTCAGCAATGCATTGTGTGTCTATGGAAGCAAAGATCTTGGATAGCTGAACAATTTGAGTTACACACGGTATGTCACTGGAACTTGATACCCCCTGGAAACCTTGTTTTGTTTTTTTCCGGGGGGGGGGGGGGGGAATGGCTCAAATTCCTCTTTTTGATGTTTTTTTTTTTTTTCAATTCCAAAAAGATGAATAAAAAAATTACAAAAAAAAAAAAGAAAGAGGAAGGAAAGAAAGTAAAATATATATAAAGTAACTATGTATATTATTTGCCTGTCAAAGTTGTTATTTTTGTGATTTACTTGCTATATTTTAGTTGCTAAGAATATTTGCTTGCTTATTACTGTTGTGTGCCTGTCACAAATTTGCACCACATTCATGGAGTGTTATTTTACACACTTCTTGCATACAACACCAAAAACCATTTCATTTTTTCCAAAAGCCCTCAAAATCATTGTTAAAGTCGTGAGAGCCAACTAGCACCTATAGTCGGAATAGTTAGGAATTGTACAACTTTAATGTGAGCACCCCTCCGCTATTCCTACCACTAAGAGTACCCCACACATAAGATCCTATAGTGCGGCCCATAAGGGTTGGCTTGGGACCTACATGGGCAAACGAGACCAAACTACATGCCTTTAATATTTACATATAGAAATTAATGTAAAAGTTTTTCAAATCTTTATGTGTACGACATGCTCGTACACCAAGTCTGTGGGCCCATCCCCATCTTGGTCTAAGGCATCTAGTTATAAGTGGGGAGGCACCATGCCCCTCGGACCTATAATGTTTTAGTGGGTATGTCTAACCTCTACCCACATGGGAGCATAGCTAGACATCGTAGTCTCCAAATTACAGTTGCCACCCATGAGTACAATTTAGCAATTGCAAATCACCAAATTAACATGTTATGAAACACTTTGAACTATCAAAGAATGAGACCAGGAGCAATCTTGTAAGAGTCAGGGAAGAACCATCAGTCCAACCAACACGGTTGAGTTGAGGCACAAGCCTTAGACAACTTCATGCCAGTCAACCCAAATCAAGTTAACCCTGATGGTCAAATACTGTTAATCACTTGAACCGAGAGATCGTATCTAATCACTTGAACATGAGATCTCTCATTAGGAGCAGAGCATTTGGTCAATGGTCAGGCTCTAGCCATTGGCCTTCATGCTAAGGATACCTAGACCCACTAGACCAGGATCTACCAAAAATTTCTATGCCCTCAGATAGAACCCCCAATTAGCATAGTAGTCATTGGTGGGGGGGGAGCCAACAACCAATCCTTCCATTCTAATCGGATCCCCAAGCTCGATGTTTGGGGCAAACCAGTCAACCAGACTATCAACAGCAAACTTCTTGTTCTATGAAGTTTGAAACATTGGCAACATCTTGCGGGGGCTTCGAGCACAGTCAGCGATGAGCACACAGGGGCTTCGAGTGGCCTCCTAATATCCGAAGGCTGGACGTGTGGCGAGCAGCTGCTTTAGAGCAAAGCTAAGGCTTCTCTCTCAGCTGCTTTAGAGCAAAGCTAAGGCTTCTCTCTCTCTCTTCCCTAACAGTCGTGGGAAGCAACAGAGCTGCTGATCCCAAAATCTCTCTCTCCATTTCTCGCTCACTCTAAGCTCTATTTCCATCCTTCTCTCATCTACGCTCTCTCTCTCCCCTCAAACCTCCAAAATCTCGCTCTATCTTCTTAGTTTTATCTCTCTCATCTCCTAATCTATCCTCTCTCCCCCTCTTCGCTGTCACGGGCAGCAAGGCTGCTGCCCTCTGTCCCTCTCTCTCTCACACAACTCTCTCTCCCCCTCACTCTCTCTATCTCACGATTCCCTCTCTCCCCTAAATCTTCTCATTCTCACTCACACACGTTTTCTCTCCTCTCTCTCCCCTCACATGTATTCTCTCCGTCTCTATCATCTTTCTTTCTATCTCCGAAAAACCCTCATCTGCTCCAGGGAAGAAGGTTTGGTTTCTCTCAAGTTTCCACTTTTGATGGAGGTTTGGCATGGGAGATACCTATGGAGCCCAAACCTCCAGACCCTTCTTCGTCCTTACTGCCTTCTTCTTCGGCAATGCCTGAGGCTTTGTCATCCTTTATGCTCCTGTTGCAACAACAGGCCCCCTCTTACCCCAAAGATGGGACTGACGTGCTTGCAACAAAACAAGGGGTTTGCCCTTCCTCACCTATGGGGGATGAGTATGTCCCTAGTATGAATCTCAACCCTTTCGAGTTCCCTTCCTTGTGTGTTGCCACTGGCTCAAGTGCCTTTAAGGGTTCGGAAGACCCATCTTCAGTACCGAACAAAACTAGCACCAGCAATGTGTGGTCACAGGGCACCTCTTCATCCCTCTTCCTGTTTGGCAACCTTGGTGTCCAAAGTGGGGTTATCTACTTCAAAGACATGACCAGTGAACCAGCAACAATGGTTGATGGCAAAAGGTGCGTTATGGTGGATTCAGATCTCTACAGTTCTTGTGCCTCACAGTGGGATTACTATTTACTTAGATACTTCCTTGGGAGAAGACCTGAATGGGTGTACATGAAATCCATGCTCACGAAAATTTGGAAAACCCAATCGGAGCCTGAGATCGTCTCGTTAAGTGATGGCTTCCACTGTTCAGATTTCAATCGGCTAAGGAGACGGAGATTGCGATGACTGAGGGCATGGTTCATCAACAAGAAATGTTTGGTGTTACAGAAATGGATTCCAAATGAGCTTCCATCTAAGAAATACTTATGTAAAGTGCCCTTGTGGGTTAAATTTCCAGAACTTCCCCTTCTGTATTGGGAACTAGAAATCTTGTTCAAGATTGCCTCCCTAGTTGGTAAACCAATCTTTATGGATAAATCCACTCATCTAAAGTCAAGACCTGAGGCCCGAGTATGTCTGGCTATGGAGCACGACATGGAGTATTTAGATGAAATTCTCGTCAATTTGAATGCAAGGATCAGAAGGAAAAATGTGGTCTATGAATTCATTCCTATTATGTGCTCGAAATGTAAAGCAATCGAGCATAAAAGTGAGCTCTGTAGAAGATCCATCTTCGATACCACTGTAACTAGTAATACAGCCAAGGACAGAAACCCACCATCTTCTAGCAGTGAGGAGATCTGGCGGGTCAAGAAGGGCAGCAAGAAGATATCCTTGAGGAAAAGACCAGTTACAGCAAATGGATGCCGCTTTGAGGCCCTTCTAAATATGCAGGACAATAATGAGATCATAGTTTCCATGGCCTATGATTCATATCTTTTGCATGATCACAAGGAGACAAGGAGACGAATGAAAAATTCCAATGTGACCCCCCTCAAGGCCAAACTGATGTGACATCCAATTGTCCCCCGTGTGGGTTGGATGCAATATGGATGTCGATGAAGTACAACCCCAACCACAGTTACGTTGTGTGGACAGCTCCGATGATCAATCATTAGAATCACACAATAATAATAGAGGCTAACCATCAACGAAGGTAAGAAATGTTGAAGAATAAATTCCGACTAATGATCTTCCATTGGCAGAGGATGAGGAAATGACCTCATAGGGGTCAACTAGGCATGAAGTGAGGATGACGAACGGCTTGTTCTTAGTAGAGGGCAAACAAATAGGAGAATGTGGTCAGGGTAAGATGAGGTTCTCAAACTTGCAAATGATAGTATACAATTGCAAGTTGATGAAATTTTGAGTGACTCACAGGATTTGCTACTATATTAGAAGTCGAAGTCGAGCAACCTAACCCAAATGTTGTTGGTACACCTGTGGATGCCCATGCTAGACAAGGAGTTGAAGGTGCAAGTTATTGTCTTAAGAACGCATCAAAGACGAGAGCTAATATAGGCCAGCAGAAGCAGAAGACATTGAAGCCACAAAGAACCTCAAAGCGAAAATCTACTGTTGTGCAACAGGAGGGGGTGGTCACCCCCCAAGTATGACATCTTCCTCTTAATTATTTCTTTACCTTTTACAATGTCATGGAATATTAGAGGAATCAATAAAGCTGGTCGAACATCAAATATTCGAAATCCTATAAAAAACTATGATGTTGGAATGTGTTTTCTTTTGGAAACAAAAATGCTAGTTTCACTAGCAGGAAGATGGCCTAAGAGGCTTGGTTTTTATAGTTCCTTTGTTATCAATGAGATAGATGGAAAATCACATATTATGCTTTTATGGAACCCGAATATCTGTATTGTTGATATTATTAATGTCCATGACCAAGCTATTACTGCAGAGGTGTCTCGACCTAGCACTGGAGTGTCATTCATCATAACAGGAGTGTATGGCAGAAATTCTACGGCAGAGAGAGAGGTTTTGTGGGACTACCTACAGAACATCAAGCTCAGTATCGTTAGGTCATGGCTCATGCTTGGAGATTTCAATGCTATTTTGGACTGGTTAAATGAGCTTGGTGGTCGAAATGCAATTAGTCCAGACTCTGAGAGTTTTGCAAAAATGTTAGTGGATTGTGCCCTTGTTGACTTGGGTTCCTCGAGAGGATGGTTCTCATGGTCGAATAGTAGTTCAAGGTCCCGGTGCATTAGAGAGTGACTTGACAAGGCTCTGGCTAATACAGAATGGATGTTGGCAATGCCAGAGGTCAAGGTTGAATTCTTACCAAAAGGCACCTCAGACCACTCCCCATTACTTGTCTCCCATGTCCCCACACCATCACCTGGCCCTACACCTTTCCGTTACTTCACCTTGTGGCAGAATACCCCGGATTTTATGGACCTCATTAAACAATCTTAGCGGGTTAAACTTGGGGGCACCCCTATGTACAGATTTGCAGCCAAACTCAAAAGACTGTGTGGGGATATAAGTAGATGGAACAAAAGGACATTTGGACTGGTTGACACCAAGATAAGAGAGACCAGAGATAGGCTCTCGACCTTGCATGATATGTTAAGTGAACATCCTGACGACCTTTTCCTTACTATGGAAGAAGCTCAGCTTACATCCCAATTGCAACAACATCTAGCCCATGAGGAGAGTATGTGGAGACAGAAATTAAGAGAAATTTGGCTTAAAGAAGGGGATTCTAATACCAAACTTTTTCATATGTCCACCATAGTCAGAAGGCGGCATGATAAAATCCTCTTCCTCAAAGACTCCACCAGCAACCAAATTTCAAACCCTAAAGCCACTAAAAGCCACATCATTTCATATTTTGAGGAGCTTTTAGCAAGTGAGACACAAGAAGCCACTCTAGTGGGTCCTATGGCTACAGACTTCCTTCCAGACAGTGCCTTACAAAGGAAGATTGTGAATCATTAACAAATGAAATTTCCCTAGAGGATTTTCGAAAGTGCATATGGGATATAAAATTAGAAAGTGCACCGAGAACAGATGGCTTCAAGGTGGAGTTTTATAAGTTCAGTTGGGATGTTATCAAGAGTGATCTCTTAAGTGTTCTTAAGGATTTCTTTTGTAAAGGAAAATTTCTCAAGGTCGTTAATTCTACCTTCATATGTATGATTCCCAAAGTCTCATACCCCACTACTATTGGGGATTTTAGACCCATTGGCCTTTGTAATATCTTGTATAAAATCATTAATAAGATAGTGGCAAACCGGCTCATGAGAGTACTTGATGGACAAATCCATCCTTGCCAAGCTGTATTTCTCAAAGGGAGGCTAATCCCCGATAATGTCCTCATGGCCAATGGCCTGATCTCCTTGTGCCACAAGAATTCAGCCATATCGAAGATGTGTCTTCAGTTGGACCTCAGTAGCACCTATGACAGGGTCTCATGGGGATTCATATTCAATAGACTACATGCGATGGGGTTTCCAGACATTTTTACAACCTGGGTTCAGCATTGCATCACTTCCCCATATTTGTCTATCTTTCATAATGGATCCCCTGTGGGCTATTTCAAGAGTAAGAGGGGTCTTAGACAAGGTGACCATTTATCCCATACCTCTTCCTCCTTGTCATGGACTATCTCAGTAGAATGATTGATGCCACTACTGCCGACAAATCAGTCCCCCCTCCTTTCTCATCGAGGTGTAACTATGGGGTCACTCACTTCCTTTATGCAAGTGACGCCCTCATCTTCAACGAGGCTTCGACCTCAGCGGCAAGGATCATCAGGCACATCTATGATGTTTTTTGTAGGGTGACAAGTCAAAAACTCAATCACCACAAGAGCAAAGTCATGTTTTTAGGGGTTAGTAGGGGTTAGTAGCGGTCTGACAATACAAGTGCTTCAAAAACTTCAGTTTGGTTTGGGGGACCTTCCTGCTAGAAATCTAGGACTTCCCCTCTTTCATGGCCCCTTGAAGCACCCATATTGCCATAATCTTATTAGGAAGACGATTGCTCGGATTGGCTCTTGGCAAGCATTATCTTTGTCCTTTGCAAGATGATTACAACTCTTAAGATCAGTACTCAATGCTTCTTCCATTTACTGGTTGCTCTCCTTATGTGTCCCCAGCCGCACTCGCACTATGATTAAAAGAATCCAACACAATTTTTTGTGGGCAGGAACTTCAGAGAATAGGTGTTTGCATTTTGTGAAGTGGGATACTGTATGTCAGAAAAGAGATGAAGGGGGCCTTGGGATTCGTAGACTCCATGACTTTACTATGGCAAGTATGATGAAGATAGCTTGGCGAATCATCTCCAATCCCTCCTCTCTCCTTTCCCTGTTCTTCAAACATAGGTACTTTCATCACTCGTCAGTCTGGAATACTCTAAGAGCTGCTCACATGCCTGGAGGGGTATACTTAAGAGCTTGAGTAGATTGCAAGGCAATGTAAGATGGATACTTGGTGATGGAAAAATGGTGGATTTTTAAGCTGGCCCATGGCTTTCAGAGTCCTCCTTATGGGAGCTATATGGTGCCGATGCTCACGAGCCCTTTGGGAGCCCAGCAAAATCCAAGGCCCCATATTACATTGAGGGAACACCACAAAGATGGACTCTCCCGATACCTATCTCTACTCCACTCATATGTGCATGGGAAGAGATTTATTTATATATGCTCCCTATCTACCCATCTCTGGACTAATTGGTTTGGATTCATTCGACCAATGGCAAGCTCTCTATTAGTGACATTTGGGACCACATTAGACAAAATGCCCCATAGAACCAGCTTTCAGAACTCCCTGAAAAACCCCATCCCATGCTAGAGCAAAGTGGTTTACTTGGCTCGTGTTGCACTCTCGATTGCCCACCACTAGCCTCCTCTAGTCTAGGGGCCTCCCTTTGGTCTCTGGATGCCCTTTCTGCCTCCAAGAGGAAGAGTTATCCGGCCATATCATTATGCAATGTGGATTTTCAAAGGTACTTTGGAGATTTGGCAAGCGCATACCACTTCAGCAATTTGTAATCATGATGATGACAAAGTGGCTTCAGTTTCAATTCAGATCCAATGATATGAAGAACATTTGAATTTCCACCTTCTCCACCACTGTCTGGCACTTGTGGGTCGAGCGTAATGTGTGTATTCATGAGGGAAGAAGGACCTCTAGGGAGCACCTTCTAAGGCGCATCATTCACTTTGTGAGCAAGTTAGCAGAAGGGAAGGGTTGGGCTTTCCACCCCTCTGAGATTCATATTTCGATTAACCTCAAGCTTAAGTGGTATATCACACCCCCCTCCACCCCAATCCCGATTGCATGGTCTCTTCCACCCACAGAGTATTTTAAACTCAACATCGATAGCTCGTCTTTTCGCAACCTAGGTATCGCAAGATGTGGGGTATAATCAGAAATGACACAAGTGGCTTTGTAGTGTCCTTTTCTATACCTCTTGGCACTAGCTCCAATAATATGGCTGAGTTTCATGCCTTGGATCGAGGTATCTCCTTGGCGCAAGAGATGGATTGTCGCTCTCTTATCATTGAGAGTGACTTCAAGTTGTTAGTTAACTAACTCACCTACCATAGCTCTTCCCCATGAAGCCTTGGCATCCTCTTGTCTAACTGTAGGGCAAAGCTCTACTCCTTTGCAGATCACCAGTGGTGGATATTGTATGTATTTTAGGAGGAGAATCTGACTGCGTATTGCCTTGCTAAGCAGGCAGTATTCATGGCACAAGCCACATTTTGGCGGGCTGGTCCCCCTGATTTTGTCACTCCCTTCATTTCGCGGGATAATGCCAATGTCCCTCTTGAAAGGTATGGTTAATTTCTCGCACATGTTCTCCTCTATGATGTAACCTTTTTGTTGTGTTCATTAATAAAAACAAAACGGATAGGGGCTCGTTATCCCCACTGATTTACCCAAAAGAACAATATTAGACAACAAGCTGGCCGGTGGGGTTACCAAGTTAGCTAACATGGAGGGGGATATGAAAGCCCTTCAAGGTACCTTTGTAAGCATGGGAGTCCATGACTTCTTAATTTCTAAAGCCTACGTGCAAGAAACCCTCAAAAGTCTTGAAGATCTGCTAACAGGATTCATCATGGTTGAATTGAGAAACAAATTTTTCAAGTAATTTCTTTCTTTTCAAAAATTATAGAGAAATTATGAAGATCTTTTAATTGCATTCAAATTACATAGAATCACACCAAATAACTAAAGATTATGGTTCATTCATTACTCTGTTTTTTGATAAAACTTGATAATGAGCTCAAGGCTAGGTGGTCAGGGTGGATAGGGTGCCACAATATGATGTCTTAAGTTCTATTCTTATTATGGACATTGGACCTTTTCCTTCCTGAATTACCCAATAAAACCCAAAATTCTTCAACTAGTAACTCTTCAAGAATTATTCAATCTTGATGATTATGGATGATAGATAGATTAGGGTTTTGACCAAACAGGAGATCGCTTTCAACAAAAATCCACAGAAAGAGTTATTTTATCTCAAAAAACCAATGAAAATGTGCTCCGTTCTCTCTCAGCTAGGGGAGACCTCCCTACTGATTTTTCTATAAAGTAGAAAGAAGAGAGACCCTAGAAAAGGGGTATTATTTGGGTTTGAAAGCAGTCATGGTTATATTCGGTAGCCAAACTTGGACTGCATAAAACCGAAAATCTTTTATTTGGGGTGCCTTTGTCTCAACCCTTCAATCAAGCATGAGATTACAAGTACCACAACTTGGAAATCTAGTCTAGTTTGACCTTAACAAAAAATAAGTTTTAGCCTCTTCATTGATTACATATTCTTCCAGATTCACTTTGAAAGCCTCGATCCATTTTGAAATCCCGAAAGTGCGATATTTCCCTCTATATTTGCTTTTCCCTTCATCATCATCATATCCCTATGCCCACACACTCAGACCACACTGAAACAAAAATTGGAGCAAAAAATATAGCTATTGCCTTTGACAATTGATTCAATCCAACTTCAATATAATCATTCCAACCTCCTCTACGGCTCTGACCATCGCAGTCTCAATCAACGATCACCCAAAGTCAGTCTCTTCCAAGACATACAATAAAACTGGAATGATACAGATAAGATTAGCATGGTTGACACAAACAAATCCAGAGACGATCACCCAAAATCCGAGCGACATTGATCTGGAACTGTGCTAGTCGTACTTTTTGCAAGACATAAATGGATCGCTACCCAACAAACAACCCGTGACCAACCCGTGATCACAGCAGCTATAAAATCTTGATTAATCTTCTTCTTAGGTTATGTTTCTTTTTAATTTACTCCCTACAACCAATTAATGCCCTCATATGCCCTACGTGCGCCCCTCCCCAAATGATGAGTAGCGGTAAAGAGTGAATCCCTACCGGAGCAGCTTGTAGCCCACCAAATTTACCTTCTTAGCAGTGGGGGCCTGGGCTGGCTCCAGCCCAGCCTTTAAGAGTCCGACCCTATTCTCCTAAGTAGGGGTGGCAACAGGTCGGGTAAGATTGGACACCGACCCAACCCGTCGGTTTCAAAAATTGGACCCATACTCATACCCGTCAAGTCCTGAATTTATCCCGTTGAGTCCCAAGTCTAGCCGAATACATTACATTTCAAACCGTCTGATTTGTCATTTAATAGAGAAAGATAGACTACACGTTCTTTATCGTATAAGATCCTTTAAACACTCAAATAAATAGGGCTTGAAGTCTTTGATCCTTTAAACACTCAAACAAATAGGGCTTGAAGTCTTTTATCTACAACAGTTTCTGAGTCGGGTCCCAGACCCGGAGAATATTGTTCAGATCCAAATGTTGGACCCATTCCCGGACCTGTGTCGAGTCCAGGTCCATTGCCACCCCTACTATTGTGAAGGGCAGGACCGGGCAGGCCGGGAACAGGTAAAATAAAAGGAAAACAATGAAAACACATAAAAAGAAATTAATGCAAGCGGAGCCAAACCGGGCCGAGTCTGCCTTGGTCTGGCCAGGCCGGCCTGTCAGGCGACCCCTATTGGGCAAGCAATTTGTGCGTGTATCTGCATAGTTGTGGCTTCTTTTTTTTCACTCAATCGATTCGATGACAGAGCAGAAAAGGAAAGGAGGCAGGGCAGGCCCTTACCCACTCCCAATACCCAAAAGGAAAAGCGAAAGCTCAACAAGAATTAAAGCCTAAAAAAAAGTAGAGCACGCATGGCCATCATCATCGTGCTTCAGACAGGAACCCAAAATTAGGGTATGGAGAATCAATTCCCCTCTCTGCCTCCTAAAAGAATGGATAATTATAGAACAGGAAGACAATAATAATAAAGGTGGTAATTAAACATGTATGAAATTGATTATGTGAAAGAGGAAAGAAATCTTGAAGATCAATGAGGCAATGGAGACATGAAATTTTGCAGATCAATCTCTCTCTCCCCTGTTTTTCACTATTTATATAATTAGAAGAGGAAGAACCAGAATTAATTTGATCTGCTTTGCAGATCTGCCCCTCTCTCTCTCTCTATCTAGCCTAAATGTTACAATTGCAGGGATTTCAACAGAGGGGAGAGGTCACAGTCCTTCTCCTTGTATTTTGTGAGGAAGGGGTGAGTGAGAAGATGCTTGGCGGAGGGCCGCAAGCAGGCGTTCTTCTGGAGGCAAGCTCTGATGAAGGACTGGAACTCCGGAGAGGAATCGGCGGGTGGGGCGGGCGGATCGCCCATACAGATGGCCATCATAAGTGTTGGCCAGTCGGGCTTCTGCCCTGGGGGCAAGCACGGGAACCGGCCCATGGCGCACTCCAGCAATGACAGCCCCAAACTCCAGATATCGGCGGAGCAGCCGTCATAGTGGCCATCTTGCGCATCCGGATTGAACCTCTCCGGGCTCATGTACGCGCAGGTGCCCACATACGAGTTGCACTGTGCGAGGGTGCTGTCGAGCACCTTGCTCACCCCGAAATCGGCGATCTTCACCTCCCGGCGTCGGTTGATAAGGAGGTTCGAGGGTTTGATGTCACGGTGCACGATTTTGTTCTTGTGGAGGTAGAGCAAGCCCTGGAGGCAGTGGGCGGCAACACGGGCCAGGAAGGGTTCGGGGATGCGGCGGTGTGCGGCAAGGACATCTGCCAAAGAGCCGGCATCCATGTACTCGAGGACAAAGGAGATCTCACCCCCTCGGTCGAAGACCCCATAGCAGCGCACAACATGGGGGTTGAGGGCTCGGCGCAGGATCTCCATCTCGCGCTTGATCTGCTGCCGGACCTGCGCATCGTGCTTCTCCTGGATGATCTTGAGGGCATAGATGGCCCCCGTGTGAACGTGCCGCGCCTTGTAGACCTTGCCGCTGCTGCCGCTGCCCAGGCGGCACACTTTCTCAAGCTCCTCAAGAGCAACTTCAGAGGAAGGCGGGAGAGGGAGGGGCATAGCACGAGGCTGGCCCTTATGGTGGTTGTTGGGGGCAAACGGATCCTCTCGGGCTGGGATGATGGGAAGCTTTAGGGCAGCTGCTCGCGGCTTCCTCTTCTCCTTTTGGATCGCCACCTGCTGTGCCGGGGCGGCCGAGGACATGGTCGCCTAAACTCTCCACCAATTGATTACAATTCAGGCGTGACTCGGAACCAAAATGAGGAATAGGAAAGAGAATCCAGGCGCGACTCCGATCAAAAATGATGATCGGAATAAAAGACAGAGATTCAGAGCAGAAAGAGGTAGGGGTGGGGGAAGTTGGTCTGGGTCAGTATATGTATACGAGGGTAGGAGGAGGAAGGCGAGGGGTAAAATGGGGAAAATGGGGAATTCTTTTGATCGGAGTAACAATCGATGAAGGATGGTACACCCACCTCCCCTCTTTCGTGACCAAACTACCCTTGCCCTACGCCTGCTCCCCTCCTCATTCTTTTCTCTCTCTTATTTATGTCCACTCCCTCCCACCCTTTTTAAAGACATGTGATTTCATCATAACGTTCGGGCGCCGTCGCGTGTGATAAAATGGAGTGAAACGCTCTTTCCATGCAGCTGCGGCTGCGCATGCATGTTGCTCCTTTCAAGGGGAAGGGGTCGTGGATTAGATTTGGTTACCACTCTTGTAAACGGGACAAAGTTGGGTTCAAAGGGGAGCGGCCACTTTTTCTCTCTTTTCCTTTTTCTAGGAAGGGAGAGCTTTTATCTTT